ATAGTTATTTGATCTGATTCTGGTAATTAAAATTTTGTTAAATGACTTTTTTTGCTTCTTTTGTTTATCGTTCGAAACAAGTGTTTTTCATGAAACAACTATTCCAATGTTTGGAATGGAAATATTTTATAAATAAACGAAGAAAACAATAAAAATAAAAATTGGAAGCTAAACTAATTCGCAAAACCATCACGAGACGTGTTTTAAAATTTGACCAAGAACAGCAAGTTAATATATCACATTTATAATAATAAGGTGTTAATATAGCGCGTAATAAATGTATCTTATGCTAGTTTTTCCTTTAAGAAAACTGTGTTATCCGATACCTCAAAACTTAATTCAAAACAAACTAATAAAGTTTATCGCGCATTTCAAGAATAAATAAAGCAATAAAGATAAAAATTCATTTCTATTCAACTATAGATGATTACATAAAAACAATTGCACTTTATATGATGTGTTATGAATAATAACACGAAAAATCTCTTACTTAAAAATAAAATAACGATATTTTTTTAGAATTTTAAAGTGCGAAAGTTATTTTATAGTCGATCTATAAAATATCAATCTGAAAATTCAATGTAAAAGATTTAAGCGCTCCAGTGATCTGTGAGTTAAAAACCTCTTTACGACATTTTTTTCGTTAAAGCCCTATGCTAGTTTAATTTCTCTTCACAAATCGTGATAGAGCTCGAAAGTAAAGCCCAGATTTAGATTTCATTTTATCGCAGTGCGAATATGTCGTTAAACCAGGAAACTTCCTTTCACCCCACTGAGTTAAATGAGTTTTCTTCCGTTGCACTTAAATTTACAAGTAAACAGAAAACTATGCTTCAGTTAGTAGTTGATAAATAAAATAAGAATATTTAGTAGTTGTTTCCTTTCTCTATTTAAGTTATCAATCACGTATATCTTATGGTTCTAAGATCTCAAAAGTGTATTAAAGCTATTCTATGGTAATTAAAGAATTTTCAATATAAAGCATATTTTTAAAATATTTATTTGTTTCAATATTTACTGATATATATAATAATATATTATATATATAATCACATATATATACACACACNTATATATATATATATTTCTCAGATGAGTGGTAAGTACGTACTTTATTTACATCGAACTAGAGCTGCAGAATGGGCTATGGGTGATGGTCTGGGGAAAATCCTTGGTGATGATCCGAAAACATTACATCTCAATTTTGATCTTCTGCAGAAAAGATGGCTTATCTGCTTTAGTAGCTCGACGGCCTGCACGCGAATAAGACCACTTCACAGTAGAGCAGTTTAATGAGGACTGATACCGCGTATCTTCGATCCCTACCCAGGCCGATCAAAGTAGTGACCCAACTGCTTACTGACAGCAGCCAGTGATGCTTGACTTCGGTGTTTCATTGGAAGCCGTGTCTTTACGATTAGTCCACTGCGGGACTCAGATGGACTAAATTGCATTTTTAACCTAGATAAATTTTACATGATTTCAGCCTTTTTTTTTATAGTGAATAGATTTATTTTACTGATTCAACTACTGACATTAGCTTTGATTCTAAAACAAACTAAATTCTTAGCATTTTTGTTCAAATAATTGAAACTAAACCAACTTTATTAAGCAATGTGCCAAATTTACCTTGTAAAAATGGATAGTCAAATATCACGAAACTTTCTACTTTTTTGACGAAACTGTTTCTTGGTATATACTCAGGGCAAAAATTTCGTCAAAGTGACTATCATCACTTCTTCAAGGAAACGAATTTCGACAAAATTAAAGAAATATTTCGTCACTCTATTTTTTTTTCCAAAAAAACCTTTTAGTGCAATGTACATAAATTTTTTAATAATAATTTTAACTTGGGCACCATATAGATCACTCAGTACAAGAAGAACATATAGGGCAGTGAAATAAAGTACACCGATGTCCAAAGCTCGATTCGATTTTCAAAACTTACTGGTAGGAGGAGATCTACATGTCTTTGACCACCATGCATATCGGTCAGCTTAATTCGCCACTTTATTTTCTATTGTCTAGTCTTTAATCTAGTTTCGTCATTCTAGTTAACAATCTACCACGATGCACTACGATAAGGTTTTGAGTTGAGGAAATATTTTCGTCATATATTGGAGTTTTCGTGTTTTGTCACAAATCCCGTGATTCTGTGACAAAATGATTTTCAGAATTACCAAAATACTGCTCAAAGAAGCTGAATCGTCAAAAATGGGAGGTTTATTTTTGAGAGTGTACTCAAAATCTTTATTATAAAAATAACTATCATACGCAAATTTAACCCAAAAAGGAAGTCTATTACTTTTATCATAGCAAACCATATCAAATCATATCAAATTTTTAAATAAAATCACCAATAATTTGATCATAAAAAGTACTCCCATAATGAGGGGAATTTTTTTATTTGATTCAGATGACAAAATTTAATACCGTTTAAAAGGAGAACGCGTTGCTAAACTTTGTTAAAATTGCTTATAAGTATTCATTTTAAAAATAATTCCTTTTGATATATTTATATTGTATTTTAAAAGGTTAGTAAATTAGCCATGATGATAATAACTACTTTCCTCAGATTTGTCTTATAATCAAGCACAGGAGGATACGTAAATATTAGTTATTTTTAAAACTTTAAGATTAACTACCCAATTTTAAGAAATTTCTCGCTCAAAAATTAACTATCTCGATTTTTATTGCGAACTGTAGCTCAAATTTAACACTGTAACAAATATATAAAAACAATGTTTAATAATTACCACTTAATATTTATACAAAATGCTCTTTAATATATATAGTTCCAATGCAATACGTTAAAAATTAATATAGTTATAAGCATTTAAAGTTTCTGGTAAAGGTTTTAGCACTTATAAGCCTCAATGTATGTATTCCCTCACAGCATTAATTTAGTTACATAATAAAGTTATAGTTTTAATGCCAAAAACATAGTGGCACAATTACAACCATTATGATATTTAAAAATCAGTTAGAAAATGTTTTTAGTCAATATTAAATGATTAATAATGAACATTTATTCAAAATACACCGTAAAAAAGAAGCTCCAGTACGATGCAGAAATATTTGAAAAGTCATTAGCAATTCAATTAGTTTGCATAAGTTTGTTGGCTTATAAACCTTAGTACAATATTTTAAACGATAATAAAGATGTTTTCTCAATTGAGGTAATGTCGTAACAAGCATACATTATATAAAAGAATATTAAAAGGAACAAAATCTCTAATTTACAACATCTTAGAGATATAATTTTAAAAACAATGTATGTACTTAGAGAAATTCATTCGGATAAACAGTAATGCACAAGCAGAACGACCCCAAAGCAGGCTAAAGTAGATATGTGATGATTCAAAATTCAGTCATGTGACTTGATCATCCACTCAGAGATCTAAAATAAAAACATTAACTTTTACTACGATTCGTAGCCTTATGTTTAAACTCATAAGCATATTGATATAGTACAGCAAAAAATAAAGTACTTGATTTAAGAATAAATCACTAATTAAGGTATAGATATAAAGCAAAAATTGGAAGAATCACAACATTTTGGAACAAGAAAAATTATAATTATTCACACAATGTTTCATATCAAGTATAGCAAATGAGCATTGATTTATTGTTTTTAATACGTAGTAATTTTTTTGGAGTTATGATCAAACTTTTGAACCTACGAATCGAATTTAATAAATTTTACATTGCTTATTGTTTATTATTACAAAAAAATAAACACTAAGTTCCTAAAATTATAATCACAATTAGTGATAAAATAAAAAAAAGACATTTTGAAATACAGGGATGAAATTTAATAAAGTTTTTGATTTTTTTTAAAAATTACATGAAATACTTTATTCGAGAGATTTTGATCGAAACAAATTAAATTTGAAGAAAATGAATAAAGTTTTTTATTTTTTATCGATTTTACAAAAAGCCAAGTAATGTAAGAATTACAAATTTTCAAATCGTCTGATTTGCTTAAATCGTCAATACAAAAATTCACAAAAATTAGAGAAGACTCAGTATTACTGCTATTAGTAGTATACACAATATGGCGAAAATTCAGAGAAGATTTACATTTTTACGCAACAGATAATGAATATATATGATAGTCGAGATTTTGAAACAAAGTGACATAATTCATAGGTAAATAAAACTTCTAGCATAATTAATATTCATATGACAGTAGTAATTTTTTTTAAAAACAAGAACAAAATAAAAATAACTTACTTCATTCGAAAGTTGTTCCAGTATAAACAACAGAGAATTTCTGTTGATTGACGGAGATCTGAATTATGGAGAAACATTTTTGCAGCAATAAAGGCTAAAATGAAAGAATCGTTTGACTATAAAAGTTTCCGCATGAGGGCGCTAATAATATCTCGACTGAGAGTTAGAGAAATTCTGTAGTTTTTACTTATATACATATATATATANTTACACCTACAATACAAAAATCAAGTGTTGATTATTAGAAAAAAGATTATTAGAAGAAATGTCCAGTTTGTGCTTGTGTCAATATTTCAAATATGTTCGTTAAAACGAACAATTTGCAATATTACGTTCATAGGGTGGAACTGCGAACCCATTCTAATTTTCTTTTAGCCAAATGCATGTTTTAAATTTTATGAACGATAAAACCCCTCCTAAAGAAACCTCTCTTTATATAAACATTATTATAAAGATAAAAAGGAAAATAAAAAAAGATAAAAAGATAAAAAAAAATTATAAAATAAACTATGGAATGCGAAACTTATTTTCAGAAACCGTTAAAGATAATCCTTTAATAGTTTTAACAATAAGAATGATAACAAAATATGTACCAAAACCATTTTTGACAAAAGCATTTTTCAGAAAAATAATAAGTAAATTTTGATGCGCTTTAGGCAAATGAATTCTTAACATAGCTTAAGGTTGTAACCTAAAAATCCTTACACGGTACTTTTATAAAATTGATTAAGAATTTCATACACAACTTTAAACAATCAACTTACCCTCTTTTTTAGTTTTTTGCCTCGAACTAAATCAACATTAATCTCTGATCTTCAGTTGTTTACGTTTCTTCCTAAAAAATGAAATTAAAATTACTGAGATTTACAAAACGCTAATATATACAAGTATACGCTTTTTCAAAATAAAACAGTTTTTAAACAAAAATTGAGAAAGATACAATTACAAAACTTAATGAGTTAAATATCTATTACATTTTACAGGTTTTGAGTGACGCAGAAAAATACATATAAATAAATCTCAATATATTTTAAAAATCTATTTTATTAATTAAATATATTTTTCAATCTATTTTTTGCTTTTTAATTTGAATTTTTCAAGTGCATAGATGACGTTTTCAGCACAAAATAATATATTAACAAAGGCTTGAAAATGATTTTGTTTACTTCTGTTAGAAAAGCCAGTTTTAGCTGTTTGCTTCATACACAGAAAATGTTTTTTAACAGTCCATGTTGTTGTTATCAAAACAATTTAGTAAGCAAAAAATATGAAAGGTTAGACTAAAAGAAACATTTTTATTGTTTTATTTGAATTTGGTAATTTTCAAGGGAGTTTTACTTCAAACAATTTATTTATAAAATTTTTATTAAAAAAATTGATTTTGACCATTTTTGATTTTGTCTTAATGTCTTCTATGTGTTCTTTTATGAAAATCACCTGATCCTGATTTGTTGCTCGTAAGTTAATTTTTCAATTTCAATTTTATAAAAATAACTATCATGATTCAAAATTAGAAATGATTTCACACTTAAAGCAAAATGTAGAGCCACAATAAAGTATAAGTCAGAAGTAGGAAGATCACAGAAATTTACAAGACAACAAACAAAGTCGAAGACAGAAGTAGAAGACAATAAACAAAAATTATGTGATTATTTTTCTTTTGGATCATATTTGCTATTTGTAAATTGCATACTAAATAAGCTATTAATTGATACTATATGAGTAATGCTTCAAAAATGCATAAAAGTTGCAAAAAAAATATGAATTAGATTGAGAGTTAAGTTAACTGACACAAAAGCTGTATTCAGCTAGGAAAAAACTACAACATTCCGTGCATAGAGTAATAAACATAAATGATTCAAGAAACTGCGTCTGGAAAATAACTATGGAAAAGCCAACTATAAATGGAAAATCACTCAGAAAACATATTTCGAGGAAAATTTATATTTTTCTAAAGCTAAATAAAACTTTCTATGACATTATTAAAATTTAAAAAATTTAATAAAATTTAAAAAATTTTTGCACTTAATATATAGTTGTTTTTCTTTTCGATAAACCAAGAAAATCTTTCTTGACACCTTTATGCCAATTTAAAAAAATAAATAAAACAGAAAAAATACATTTTTGGAGATGAAACTAAAGGATTAAATAAAGTTTTATCAAAACCTACGAAACTGATCAGGTAAATTCTGCTGAATTAAAAAAATACATATATACATAAAATTTTTAGGAATAAACTTCTGCCTTCATAAAGCTCATTTCATTTTATTTAAATATATAATGTTAAATTGTATTTGATAATGAGCTACAACAAAAAATAACGTAATTGTTTCTTTTTCAAGTAAATAAAACACATAACACAAATCATTTTTTATGGCGCATTCACGATTTAAAAGCTTTTTAAAATTTTATTTAAAAAAAACAAGCTTGAAAGTGTTTGAGCAATTTTCTAAAATAATTTATATTTCGTTTTAAGATAATTTAAAAAAAATATGATATCTGATTATTTAGGTGGTAAAAATTGGTATGTTTTGTTAACAAAAAATCTTTTATATCCTAATGCAACCACAAAAATTACTGGGAATTTTCATAAGTTTTTATCTGACGTAATGAAATAAAAATACAAATGCGAAAGTTCAACTTTACAGTTTTAGTGACTCTAAAAATACAAAATATAGAGTATTGAAATGCATTTAAATTTTAAGTAATTTTAAAAATGGATTATTTAATACATTTATTTATATTTGAAAAAACATTTTTTTTAATATAGTGAAATTGCACAAAAAAGATGCATGTATTTTTAGAAAAACTTCAATAAAAATTGCGAAATTTGAAAAAGAGAAAGTGTTGGATTAAAATTTGTTTCAAACCAATTGCTGATTAATGTTTTAACTAATTGAAAGCATTCAAATATTTAAATTTACCAATAATTAATGATGTTATAATTAAAAATATTTTTCATTGAAGTAATAAAAATTCAGTGAATCCGACAAAGATTGTGATAAAATGCATTTTTCTCTTTTCAAATCTGTCTAAATTGTCTTCATTCAAATTTTTCTTAATTGTCTTCTTTTCTCTTTTTAAAGCTGTCTTAAATGTTGTGATTAAGGTAGATTGATTATTTGGTAGATAATTAAGGTAACGCTAAATATTATGAAACGTTTCAATAAAAAGCAAATAAATTTATAAATAACAACTGACCAATAGACCAATAGAGTTTTTTTTTACCTGATTAAAAGTATTCAATCCTTTACATTTACAGATAATTTGTAATGCAAAAATGAGAATAATTGCTTTTTTAAAACTTTATTAAAAATATTTTTTCTTTACTTAAATCTCTTAAAATTTGGAAATTTGTAAGCTGCTTGAAGGTATATTTTTTGTTTATTTTTTTTATTTTGTTTATTTAATTTTTTTTACCTGATTGAAAGTAATCAAAGATCTACATTTACAGATAATTCGTTATGTGATAATTAAAATAATTTGTTTTTCAACATTTATAAAAAACCATTCACATTTGATTAATTTAATCCCTTTTAAAATTTGGAAATTTTTAAGCTGCTTTAAGGTAAAAATCTGAAGTAAATAAAATTTTAGTGAATCCGTCAAAGATTGTGACAAAATACATTTTATCTCCTTTTCAAAGTTGTCTTAATTGCAGCGATTAAAATTGACGCGGAAATATTTATGAAGGCAACACTGAATAAATTGCTTTTGGTACTTAAACAAAAGCTGACTGGTAGTAATTAATGTCGGCAGCATAAAGCAAAAGAAAACTCATCTAATAAGCTATTTGTAATAATTTTTCTCTTCTGTTCTCACTGCGACTGTCATTAAGGAAAGAAATAATTGCATTATTATGACATGAATAACATTGTTCTTTGATAAGTTTTGTGCTTAATTAATAACTAACTTTTTTTAAACAATCTAGTGAAGTTTAAGGAATAAACTTTGATTTGATCTAAAATTACATTGTACTCTTCTAATTGTGTTTCTTGAACTTGCTTTAGCTCATTCTATTTTAATACGTAAATTATAATAGTTTTGGAAATTAAGTTAAAATATTAATCACAAAAAACGAATTTTTCAAATTATTTTAAGATAAATTTATCAACTTCATCTGCAATTAAAATAGTATGATTGTTGCAAACAAAAGTAAGCATGCTTAAAATTATAATAAGGAATGCTGTGAAAACAATTGCTATAAAATTTTATTCATGTTTCAAAAAAAGGTCTGAAGTTTGTGCAAAAATTCGGTGTTAAAATTTAAAAAGATTAACTTAAAACCAGTTTTTTTACCGATAATAAAAAATTTTCATAATAAATTTTCTAAACTTACCAGTATTCAAGGCTATTGATAGAAATTGCAATAGAAAATAATATAAAATCCAAAAAAAAAAAAATCAATATTTTCTTCTTTAATTAGATCTTGCAGATAACGATTTTAATGTCTGAATGAGCGATAAGTACATGCCTTATATATTTCATAATAAGGAATAATATTAAATTCTGTAAGATATTTACAAATAAATCAACTTTACTAAGTACGTGTTACATAGGCAAGTCAGTTTTAATATAGGTTATACTGAATATATTTTAATGATTTAACTAGATTCAAGTAGCAAATTTAATTGAATTTTAGAAATATTCACGAAACCAATATATATTAGTTATTTCTCAATATAAATAAAAGTTTAAAGAACACAAGACCAATCTACACTGTAAAAAATGGATACTGAAATATCTCGAAACTTTCTTCATTTTTGACGAAACCGTATCTCGGTATATGCTCTCAGTAAAAATTTCATCAAAGAGACGAAATAACTATCGTCCCTTATTCGAGGAAATGAACTTGAAGAATTATAGTTAAAATTCATCATTGTATTAAAGTTATAGAAATTCTAAAATCATCATTCCATTAAAATTTCGTCATTTTATTAAAAAAAAAAAACACGCAGTGCTTAATGGTTCTACTTTTTCTAGTAATCACTTTGTCGCCGACACCACTTAGGTGGATCAATGTCTACCAAACAACACAAGAAAGAGAGACAAATAGAAGAAATAGATAAATTGCACTCATGCCTAGATTGGGATTTGAAACCGAGATCTTCCTAGAGAGAGGCGTGACCACGAAACAGGCCGCCCAGCTTATATCGTCACTTTATTTTCGATCGTCTTGTCTTCATTCTTGTTAACTATCTCCTACAATGCACTGCGATGAAGTTTTAAGTTAAGTAAACATTTTTGACGTATATTTGAGAGTTCGCGTTTCGGTCCCGAAATCGCAGGATTTGTGATTCGCAAAATTAACGAAATACGATCTTTAACGATTCTCAAAATTAACAGACTGCTAAATTGTCCAAATTGAGAGTTTTATTTCTGAGAGAGTAGAGACAACAAGAAATTAAAATATACCTTTCGAACTGTAACAAATACCAATTATTGTCCTCTCTTTAAGTTAGTGACATTAAAAAAAGCATCTATCAACTTTCGCACCATCTAGAATTCAGAAAAGAAACTTTTATAAAATTACTTAGTTAAAGAAATATGGGAATCGCAAAGTCTAAAAATAAGTCAAATAATAAACATTGAGTTCAAGAATATTTCTTATGCCAGAAAACTTGAATGAGAAACTTATAAAGAGAACTAGAGAAAAATAAATTTTAGCATCATAAGAGCTAATAATAGTAGGTTCGTGCTGTTATGAATTAGATTACTAATGAAAAAAAGCTTTGTGGATTCAGCAAAAGACATAGAACCTATGATTGTTACGTCTGCAACCATATTGCAAAAGAAATTATAAGATAAAAAGCTACACATTCTTACCGGCATACA